GATAACGGTTATGTTAGGGTTAGAAGACGAGATAATTATGTGCATAGAATGTGGTTAAACTATTCTGTTGACACTGAATCCAAAAGTGAGAGGTATTTTTGTCACATGTCATAGAAGGGTATCCTGTGTAACAGTTTCATGCCTTTTAATTCGTTATTTTCATGAATATATGTGCTTCATACGCAAAAATCGCCTTTATCATGTGATTTGTGCGTTCAAGGTCATTTGTCCGTTGGTACTTACTGGTGCTTAAAGTTTAACTTTGCCACTAAAAGGTAAGAGCTTGGATACAGGAAATATATTCATGAGAAATTAGGAAAATATGTTTTTATAAATCTTTTTCTAAATGAGAGTGTAGCAAAAGAAAATAAAATGAAATTCGATACTAAATTATTAATTGACGACTAAAACTTTGTAGTTTAAGGTTCAAGTCGTAAAATGGATTGAGATAGACGCTTCTGTATAAAAAGTTTAAGATTTTCTTTACGTAAAGCTTCAGGTGTAAAAAGAAGATGTAAGCAGCACAACTTTGAATTACTAAGTCTTATTTATCTCCCTTCATCAGCAACATTGTAAGATATTTATGACCACATTTAGACAAATGTTTTACTGGTACAGCCGACGTACTTGGCTGGCACATGCACACAAATTTTGTCAGCAGTGGAACTTAATCTTTAACTTTCTGATGATGAACAAGCAGATTTGTGGAGAAAGTAAGGCGTAGAGGATGCACTGAAGAATGTTTGTTGAGGTGATCTTGATAAGCGACATCAAAGGATTTCACTTGTATTACCTCCGAATTTCTGGTTTACCAAATTTCTCTTTGGAATATCAAGTTTATTTTTAAAATAAAGGTAAATATTCATCTAGAACTAGAGCGTTCCGGAAGAATTCAAACTACCTATTTAATGTATCATCCGTACATATACAAGAAATTCTTGCGACAACAGAATTGGAGAGATTTTTTCAAAAATTCAATTTTTGAAGTGACCAATTTCACTTCTTCTCCAAGTTGAACACTGGAGACAGAAAGTTTACCTTTAGACCTAACTTCAAGGGTAAAACCAGTCGATTGATAAACACTGTTAGGATTAATAGTAGAGTTAAAAACTAAATAAATCAAGTAGATTACAATAAATTGTCATGCTGTCAAAAAAACAAAAACAAGTTTGTCTTGATTGTAGCCATTTTAGTTAAAGTGTGAAAAATGTAAGTCTGTGTGTTTTTCTGTATTCTACTTTAAACGACTTTAAGGCAATATACATCTCTCCATTGAAGCAACTGAAACTAGAATCATATGAACAAAATAAAAGTGATAATCACTAATTTCTTTAAAAAAATTTCTGTGGTTACGTAACTCCTAAAATGTTGACATTTAATTAGGCTATATAATACCATCATATTTATATGTATTCATGTTGATAAGTCATTGTAGCTAGCTAGTATACTGTAATATGAAAGATAAAAATATCTGGTGAGAGCAGATTATCAGAAGAAAGCACAATGGTTATAATAAAGAAAATTATAAACATTAGATTGATTTCATAACTTGCAAATAATATCACCCATGCTGTATGAGTGGTTTTATTGCCTATTCCCGCTAAGTGTAGCATCGTAGTCCATTGTTATGGTGGTGTAATGATAAGTTATGCTTTTCGTATGCCTTTTGAATGAAATTTTGCATTAAAATTTTCTTTTCTGACGTATATATTCTCGGTGGTATTATATTCTTGAACTGCATTACATTTGCTGCATTTGTATCAGAAAATGTTGCTTGCTACTGATATCTGCTCAATGTAATGGATTAAAGGAGGGGCAGTAGGTTCAAAAGTTAAAGGTATACTATAGAATTTTCATGAAATCATGCTGGTTTATTTTGGCGTATTTACTGAAACGCCCTAATACCCATTGGATAAGTGTGTCACTACTAAAGAAAAGGGATACGGTCGGTCGGTCGGTTTTCGAAATAGAACTTTGCACATATGTGCGCCAGTTCAAGTCGCCACACTCCATGTAGCACACAAAGCAAGAGAAAAAGTAGAAGAAATGCATAATATAGACAGTAAACAGAGGTGCGAGACAAGGGAATAGTAATAACGAAGAACAAAACAGTTTAATTGGAAATCATGAGTCACAAAGAGTGGATGCATCTGAACCAGCCACTGAGAACGATTTTGAGCCATGTCACCAATTGTTTCCAACCATTGGTTTTTACCGTCCCGAGGACCCCAACCAGTCAGGAAGTCTACACCTTCCTACGTGGCTTAAACTAACTGTTGTAGATTTCATTGACTGATTAGGCCATGTTTTCGTTTGACCGCCGCTAGATCTTTTCCAGCCTGGCCCTATATCAGCTAACATTGCCCGTTAGTCGAGGAAGGCGATGACTAGGCATACGTAGCACATGTCCTAACCATCTCAGTCGATGTGGCTTCACAGCCTCGTCGATTGATTTCCCCTCCTTACCTAGCACTCGATGCCTAACCTCAATATTGCTCACCTTATTATACCACTTCACGCGGGAGATAGAACGCAGACACCTATGATCGAAGACAGCTAATCTTTTCATGTCAATATGCCAATATAATCGCCCATTCTGTATTAATCATTTGCTTCTTTTCGTTGTTGTCTGTTGCTTATCAGTTTTGTCATAGAATTTTAATCCCAAATGACACATAAACTGTCATTGCTCCTACGAAAATGTTGCTATGCATACTACTCATATCTGTTTGTAAGCAGTACACAACAAAGAATACCCTAATCACACAGATTTAATTAAAAACAGGAATAACGTATGTGATTTCAACACTAAGTAACACTTATCTGAATACAAACTATTGTGTATGAATCTTATCAAAAGTGTTGCAGAGACACCTTAGTATTGAGTGTTCAGTTGAATGAATTTTTTTAATGATTGACATCCCAACGAAACTCACTGTAGTTTCATATCAGCTTAATTAAAAGACAGTGGTAAAGCACATTGAAGTGGATCAGTGTATTCTTTAGTAAATCGAACAAAAATTTTGTAACCTGCTAAGGTTAGTCAATCCATGTTATGAATTCTTTATTTCTAATTAGCACTTTATATCTATTTCTATAGATATTTCATTGATCCAGTTTCGTTGATCTTTGCTTCATCATTATTCGATCAAAGTACAGTCATCAATATGTTCGTTGTGTATGGTAATATTAAACAAAGTGAAAATTTTCGTCAAGTAAATGGAAATCCTCATAAGGTAAACTAAACTCAATCAAATAAGACTACTACTACTACTACTCAGTATAGAATGTTCTCATTGAACTAATCAGATTTCTAATTGAAATAAATTCTTATTTTCCCTTCTTCATGAAGTCAACTGAATTTCTTCATTGCATTCTCTTCGAAGGAGGCAGTTCAAATGCATTCAAATGATAAAACATAGAGCCATATCGGTTAAACAAAACTAAAAGTGGAAGTTTAGGCATTACGGTCTAGTGATGAATACACTGAATAAAAAAAAACACAGCTGTAATGCTTAGTTAGTTGCATTTATTTATTAAACTTGCTTTTTTACAAAAAAATAATAATAATAATTGTTGTTACAGTTATGGTTAGAAAATTAAGAAATAGAATTAACCATGAATTTAACTCACAGTTTGCAAATTAATTTATAGTTTAAACGGTTTGAGGAGATGAAAATTCAGATCATAATGATAGTGATCAAGATTTTTTGTTTATTCCTTTACGTTCCCAGTGGAATACAGGGTTTCAAGCTAGAGCTTTGAAGTTTCGGTAGCAGTGATGCTTATTTTTAAGGGGTGGGGTTGCTAGCCTCATGTCCAACCTTTCCTTTTTACGGGGATTACTACAGGTTAGGGCGACGTAAAGAAGTACGTCGGCCGTCCTCCTTTATGGCTGTGAGACCTGGTCATTGAGAGCAGAAGACATGAAAAGATTAGCTGTCTTCGATCATAGGTGTCTGCGTTCTATCTCCCGTGTGAAGTGGTATAATAAGGTGAGCAATATTGAGGTTAGGCGTCGGTTAGTGCTAGGTAAGGAGGGGAAATCAATAGACGAGACTGTGAAATTACATCGAACGAGATGGTTAGGACATGTGCTACGTATGCCTAGTCATCGCCTTCCTCGACGGGCAATGTTAGCTGATATAGGATCAGGCTGGAAAAGAGCTAGCGGCGGTCAAACCAAAACATGGCCTCATCAGTCAATGAAATCTACAACAGTTAGTCTAAGCCACGTAGGAAGATGTAGACTTCCTGGTTGGGGTCCTCGGGACGGTAAAAACCAATGGTTGGAAACAATTGGTGACATGGCTCAAAATCGTTCTCAGTGGCGCAGATGCATCCACTCCTTGTGACTCATGATTTCCAATGAAACTGTTTTGTTCTTCGTTATTACTATTCCTTTGTCTCACACCTCTGTTTACTGTCTCTATTATGCATTTCTCCTACTTTCTTCTCTTCCTTTGTGTGCTACATGGAGTGTGGCGACTTGAACTGCCGCACATATGTGCAAAGTTCTATGTCGAAAACCGGCCGACCGACGTCGGCCGAGGATAGAACCCCGAACCACATGGAGGCGTGGTTGGCGAGCATTCTACCGTTGTGCCGCCGACGCACTTGTGATCAAGAAACCAAGCATAAATCAGGTGGTTTGAGCTAAGTTAAACCGGATGCACCGCTGATGAGCTCCGCTTAAAATGAGCAAAACAGCTGCCCAGTGTTTAGATCCCTTCAATTTGATTGGTTAGCAAGCACTACTAGCCGATGCAAGTAGTATACACCTACTCATTCCAGTTAATCAGTAGTATACAGCTTTAAAAATTAACACCAATTTGTTAGAATTGTTAGGATACTACGATTGTTATAACGAACCAAATAATTTGATATATATATAGATATAATAAAAACATTAGTGAAATTTAACAGAAAAATAAAACAAACTATATTAGTTTTAAAAAAAAAGAAAAGAAATATTGAAAAAATGCATGTGATTAACTAACCTTAGAATTTTGTAATTTTGTATTTGTATTAGTTGACTTCTTTACTGCATCTAATGAGATAAGACGAAGTTTGAGACCACCTTGATTAGATATGAAGGAGAAAAATTAAAACAAGGTGGAAAACAGCACGCATACAAAACAAACAAACAAACAAGCACAATACACTTACTGTTTAAAAAATTTTGTCACTTAGTATACTGAAATTGTTGAGTTGAACAAATCTATCAGGATAACGTGGTATCTATTTGCAAAATACTAAAAGCTAAGGTGTGAGGTTGTAATTCATTAGTTTAGGTGCTCGAAATGAGACTAGTGGTCGGTGGGATCAAACCCTGCTCCACTTACAGAGGTTTGGATAGCTAGGTAGTATCACTGGCACTTACACAATAGAGTGTAGCTTATTCTCGACTGCATGGAATTGCAAGTGGTTTTATTCAAAAACCAAGATCCATTTAAAATCAATGATCTGTATTCTAGAACTCTTTGACAATCATATCCAAAACTATATATCCTAAGATTAGATTATCTTCTAATACACTGGTAAATGGATCAGGTAGCTAGCTGTCAACCACGCTTGCCTGATCAGTTAGTTTTCAGACTGTCAACTCTCCTGTGAGAACTGTGGATAAGGATTGGTGTCCCATAGTCAGTTATTCCGTTAACTAGTATGCTTCACTATATTAGTAAACCTTTGCACCACATATATCATAACTTGTGACGATGATCAACCGACTGACAAAAGTGAACCAATTGAAATTATTATCTGTAGGATGATGATAAGAATCAGCTTAGGATTGCCAATCAGTCAGAACAATCGATTTCCACTACCCTGGGCCGATTTTAATGTGGTTAGAAAATATATAAATATGACGTGTTTTTCCTAATAAAAATCATATCCTAACAGTCACAGGCCAATCTTTGTCTTTTGATATTTACATGGCTCAGTGAAGCTCAAGGTACCACGGACGAATAGGTGTACTTAGCATATCAGTCGAATTGTTCATTGCGTCAGCATTATTATACCCACACATCAGTCCACTAGGTCATATCAGCTGTCAACGAGATCATATCAATTAGCGACAGGTTCATAACGGATGATAAATTGCTCAGATGAGAATTTTTGTTGTTGTACAGAATATCATGTGCTTAATTATCTTCTGAATGAGTCTAGCAGATGCTCTATTCCAATAAGTAAATTTTAAAAAGTGCATCACAATACTGTTTCAGTCATAATCGGTTATTTCTTCTAATTCGTTAGTTAGAAGCAGAGTCATAAACTACTGATGAATCTTTTAAAACGTAAATAACTCATTGAATTAAATTTTAGATTTTCCCATCGATTGATTGGATCGGTCTCAGGTTGACATGTCGGCTTCTTGTGCAGATGCTTCAACGATGTCTGGGATGTAATTAGAAGTCAATTGGTGGGTGGTGACTAGCAGTGGGATCCATGATGAACATTTCGTTCTATTTGAGACCCGTCAGCTGGATGTGCCTGCGTCCCCTAGTCAGCGAATGGTGGTGTTCGCACCGAGGCTCGAATTCAGTGCCCATAGTTTCAAAAGCCAAAGCGTTATCCACTAGACCACTTGGGCCATGAGAGCCACTTCTTGTGCAATGGGTCATAATAATTATTTAATTCAATTTTAGATTTTACCGTCGATTGACTGAACTGAAGCGCTCGGTCTCAGGTTGATAACGCTTTGACGTTTGAAACTAGGGGCACTCGGCTCCACCCTCGGTGGGAACATCATCACTCAATGATTGCCGAATGAAGGTACATCCACTGGCTGACGAGTCCCAAATAGGACGAAATGAGCATCCTGGATTCCACTGCTAGTCACCATCCACCAAATTAAATACATTTACTTAGTTTAAACTTGAAATGCCTGTGTTAAAACCACATAAGTGTGATTTTCTGTCTCAAATTTAGAAAAATATAAAAATCTGATTCAAGCCTTTTTGTACGTCCTGCTTAAATTGTAGTTTTTTAATCAAGACTATTTGAAACTGTTTGATATGCATATATATGTTGTTATCAGATAATATAACAGCAAATGTTTGTTACTTCTTGATAACATACATGACAATAATGGGAATAAATTTAACTCAACAGTTTGCAATAAAAAATGAATGCCGCTTTATTGTACTCCTAAAGTGAAGGATATAAAATGGTGATAATAGTTCTTCTTAAAATACCTGGAACAAAAAGGCATAAGTGTTGGATGACAGCACAGCTCGCCATTCACACGACGTTTCTTCCAGGGTACGACCTGAAGGAATATTCGTTCTAACCAATGTAAGATGTCGAGTCATTATGATATACAAGTCTGACCATCACATCAAGGTTGAGCAGATAACCAGCGATGTAATATGCTTAGTTCAGAATTCAGAATATTGATTGACTCATTTACGAAGTAGATCATTCTAAAGAAATGTCACTCACTTACTCTTATGCTGAGATAAAAATATTTAATTGCTAAGGAAAGCATTAATTTCTCGTAACCTTACTTCAAAGCTGTACGCTTATGTAGTATTGCAACAAGTCATGGAAACGCCTACAAGGGTCAGCTATTGCTATCGATTGGTAAACAAAAACATGAAATTGCATTTGAGGAAAAAATAATGAGTAAATTACAAACTTAGTTAAGTAGTCTTACGTAATCTATAAACATTAAGTGATGAATATCGCTCAGAAATGATTATGATTGAAAATGTAGATGCTTGAAAACACGAATATGGTGAATAAAACTGAGACATTTGGGATATGTATAAGGTAGAGTGTAAAGTTATTAGTTTGAAAGAGAAGAATTAGTGGGAAAAACGAATGAGTATGGGCTAAATACCAAATTGCTGTACAACTTAAAAGACGAGGGTTTGAGACCACAACAGTAAAATAGCCTCTGTATACACAGTTCAGAGTTCTCCTTGTGTATAGGAAGAGCTTACGCCTTTTGACAGAAGCGTTTCGGGCAACATCTTCTGTTCTTTCAAACTAATAACTTTTAAATATACTTTATACATATTCAGAATTTCTTAATCTTATGTACAGTATTCCTGCTTCTAAGCGCTTACACTTTTAAATGATAATCATTTCTGAGAGATATTCATCATTTAATGTTTTTAGATTACGTAAGACTACTTAACTAAGTTTCGTGGTTAATTCATTATTTTTCCTGTTATGGGATTTCATAGGTTTTGTTATCAATTGAACAGTTAATCTTTTGGATATTTCTCTGACCTTTTAGCAACACTCTCTAACTATACAGCTTTCAATTGAACTTACAAAAAGAATATTCTTTACTGACGTATCTTTTTAGTTTAACTCAGTTTCACACTAATCCCAAAAAGAAGGATGAAAAGAATCAAGAACAAACTGCGCAGTTGAATCTGTCGTATTGGTTGAAAAATTTCAACTTTACTTCTAAACGATCAACGTAATCTCAGTGATCATCACTTGATTCAAAGCAGAGTTTAAAAGTAACACGCTAACATTTGGTCAACTAAAACATGACACCAAGTATTGCGTCACATAAAATTTATGGGATAATACTACTAATAATAAATGTGCATTGTGTTCAGGTATTTATGTTCAAATGCATGAAATAATGCTTTCATACAGGTATTTCGAAAAGCATGTAGTATTCATGTAGTATGCTTTATTAAAGTTTACGTATACCAGTCTATTGATTCAACGGAAAGAAATGTGAAGTCATTGACTAAAAATGATCAGTTGTTATTGTCAAATTTTGACCAAAAAAAACAAAAACCTGTAAATGCGCTAACACGTTTTATCCTGTTGGAAAATTTTTATTTTATTTTTTAAGAAAAAAGTACAAGAATTTGGAGAGTATCACAGAAATGGTCTACAATACTTCTGTTATCCTTCTTGAAATTATAACAAACAACTACCCAGTGGGTGCGTGCTGATGAAGAGTCCCGAACTAGGACGAAACAGCTAGCTGTCCAGCACTCCCAGGTTTTCCAGTGGTTCTCTAACTAATGTCAGCTCATGATGAAATCCTGTAACCAATCAATCAAATCCCTACAAACCAATACTTAAACATTTAATTACTTATTTCAATAGCATGTTAAGGATAATAATTAATAATAATAGCTTTTGGTGATATTAGATGGTTGGAGGCAATCGGCCACAGGAAGCCCAGTCTGACTTAGGTTTCGCTCTAGTCGGCACTCACCAGTCAGTAAGGCGTATCTGCAAACTTGAAGGAACTCATGTCCCTTCTGAGATTCGAACCCGCTTCCCCAGTGAGTACTGCAGTCAGAGACGTTACTACTGAGCTATTTGGGCTCGCCATTGACCTTCTGTAGGACTGTATAGGGTACTTTGATTGGACACTAGTAACTAGTGTGATGTGTCTAACAGCTTTATCCTGAAAAATGCCTTTATACACAATATAGAATTCTCAGCGACTTTGATTGCAAGTAATTTACTCCAGTACTACTTTACAATGTTCTTCCTCCATCTCCTTAGAAACATTCTTAGCGGTAGGTAGAAACTTATTTGAAATAGTGCGACAGTATGAATTGTGACTCATTATGGTAATTGAAGCATTAAAACAATATGAAATGGAATAAACACAATGCATTTTGATGGATAGAAAATTTAGGTAGTCTAGTGATTTAAATAGGCCTCCAAGAATAGTATGTTTATCGTTTCAGCATTGTTCCCTGAGGTTTCGAGTGGAATATCACCATTTCATCCTCTTCTCTGCAATCCTCTTTAGCTGCCTGTATGATCTCTTATAAGCTTTCACTTCCTCCTCATACAATCTCCTCCATGTCACTCGCAGGTCAACGTCCAACTCGTTATTTCTCATTCGGATTCAAATCGACGGCCTCGAACATGATGTTAATCAACACTGTCCTGAGCGTGTGTTCGATTTATCTCTGTTCTTTTAGCATATTTGTTGACCAGTAGGTTTTCATTCGGTTCATTTTCAGAGTTCTTTGGTGCTAATCTTAGTATGGTTATATGTATACATATGTCTGCTTAAGAGTTCTTTGACTGGGAATCGAGTCTGTACCACGTGCATGATTGGCTAACATTTTACCCCCA